CATTTTAGCATACGCGCTGCATATTCCATATATTATGTCCACTTGGATACCTAATCCTGAATCGTATCCCACATCTTTTAAAAAATAAAATAAAAGTAAAAACGATATCTGTGATCATCATTCTTTTTCACTTCTACCACCTCGGGATCTTGGCAAGAGCTGAAGAGAAAGAGGGGAGGGCTTCCTGCCCAGGGGGTGGGAGGAGGTGAGGGTGGTGGACTTCAGGTCCTGGGGGGGAGTGGTTGGCCGGGGGGTGCGAAGCAGGAAGGAGGGTGCATCTGAGAAGCACAGGGGGTGAAAAGCGGAAATGAAGTCGATAAGCTTCTCAGAAGCAGGTTAAAAGTAGGTTAGTGGCCTGGGCAAGGAGCTCGCTGCCCCTCCAGTTCGCTTAAGACCGACCTGGGGAGGGTGCCCTGCCTCACGCCTGCGATCCCAGCAGAGAGAGGCGGAAGCAGGAGGACTGTCTGAGGCCAGGAAGCGGAGACCAGCCTAGACCACATCATGAGATCCCCCCTCTTATTAAAGAAAAAAAAAACTTCAATCGAGTTGGGATCTCGGTCTCTCGCCATGACAGCTTTTGCTCTTCAAGTCGCCTTCCCTTGTTCCCCTCCACCTTCTGCTCCCCGTCCCTTATGATGTCACCTCCCCTCCCCCTTTGGCTCCTCCGTCTCTCTGTCCATCTTGTTCCCACCCCTCCTCCTCACCCATCTCCCCTTCTTCCCTCTCTCCTGCTCCCAAGGCTTGGAGCCCCCTCCCAGAATGATCTCTGAGGCCAACCTTCACAAGAGGTTTCATCTCCAGGAGGAAGTTGGTAGCCATGGTGTCTTTACACATACACTATCTTCACGCCTTGTTGTCTCATCAAAGCCACGGAAACAGACAGACCACGATGAGAGCGGGGGCCGGGGCCAGGAGCTCGGGGCTTCCCCACCTCCCACCAGCCCAGGAAGGGCAAGGGAGGCAGGAACCTGCCCAGGATGTGCTGTGTTCCTTGGCAGAAGTGGGGGGCATCCTGGCCTCTCTCCGGACGTGGTCTCTGCCGCCAAAAGGTGCAGGCAATGATAGCTCCTGCCGGGGCCGAGCTTTGTGTACAGACACGTAACTCACACAAGACACCTGGCATTCGGGCCCAACAAATGCCATTCCTTTTAAAATTGTCTAAATCCCTGATGGTACCTGCGCACTTATTGAGCTCCTACTGTATACCAGCACCACAGTGGACAATATTTCCTATGCCTGATCTGATTTCATTCCCACAACAGCTCTCCTTCCCCCCTGTCTCTCTCTCCCTTTCTTTCTCCCTCTCCTTCCTCTTTTTCTCTCCTCTCTTGGTCTGCCCGTTCCTGTCTCTTCTCCCCGTTCCTGTCTCTTCTCCCCGTTCCTGTCTCTTCTCCCCGTTCCTGTCTCTTCTCCCCGTTCCTATCTCTTCTCCCTGTTCCCGTCTCTTCTCCCCGTTCCCTCTCTCTTTCTCCCCCTTTCTCTCTCTCTCCCTCCCTCCTGTCTCTGTTTCTCTCCTCTCCCCCCTCTCCTTCTTCTCCTTTTGTCTCTCTCTGTCTCTTTCCTCTCAAAAAAAAGAAAAAGAAAAAGAAAAATATTCCTACAACAAGCATAGCTGACAAATCCAGGCTGAGTAGTAACCCTCACTCAATTGCCTGACAGCAGGAGCGTTTTGGATTTTGGATTTTGAAATATTTGCACATACATTCCAAGATATCTTGGGAATGGGAACCCAGAATAAACACAAAATTCATTTATGTTTCATAGACAACTTATTCACATAGACTTGAGATGATGTTATACAATATGTTTAATAATTTTTTACATGAAGCAAAGCTTGTGTATCTCAATCCATTAGAAAGTAAACGGTGCCGCTCTCAGTCATCTGTGTGGACAGTCTGTGGTTGCTTGTGTAGGATCTCACTCTGTTGCCCAGGCCAGAGTGCAGTGGGACAAACATGGCTCACCACAACCTCAACTGCCTGGGCTCAGGTGATCCTTCCACCCTAGCCTCCCGAGTAGCTGGGATTACAGGTGTGTGCCACTACCCATGGCTAATTTTTTTTTTTTTTGAGTCAGAGTATCACTTTGTCACCCAGGCTGGAGTGCAGTGGCACACTCATGGCCACAGCCTTGACCTGCTGGGCTTAGGCGATCCTTCCACCTCAGCCTTCCAAGTAGCTGGAACTACAGGCACACACCACCACACCCGGCTAATTTTTTGATTTATTGTAGAGACGAGGTCTTGTCATGTTGCCCAGGCTGGCCTCGAACCCGTGGGCTCAGGCAATCCTCTTCCTTCCACCTCTCAAAGTGCTGGGATTACAGGTGTGAGCGACTGTGCCTGGCTACACCTGGCTAATTTTTAAAAAATTTATTTTGTAGAGAAAAGGTCTCGCTATACTGCCCAGACTGGTCTTGAATTTCTGGACTTGAGTGATCCTCTCACCTCTGCTTCCCAAAGTGCTGAGATGGCAGGCATGAGTCACCACACCCAGCCTTTCCGAATCTGAATTTATGTGCAACCAACAAACAATTAGTTCTTGCACCTATTCACATACAAGTGCTTAACAGTAAAAAATATGACATACACATCTTGTGTGCAAGGAAAAGATACGTAGCAGCCGTGAGGGACTTTCCCTCGGGGATGCTGAGTAAACTGTGTGCCCTGTGCCTGCCTGCATTTTAACTGCGATGTGTAACATGAGGTCAGGTGTGGAATTTTCCACCTGAGGCATCTTGTCAGGGCTCAGAAAGTTTCAGATCTGGGGACATTTCCAATTTCAGAGTTTTGGATTCAGGACTCTCCACCTGTACTGTTAGTTTCCTCCTATTTTACAGATGAGGAAACTGAGACACTGAGAGGTGATGGTACTTGCTCAAGGTCACAGGGCTAGTGAGTGGCAGATTGGACTTGGAACCTAGGATTATCTGACTGCAAAGCCTGTTTCCTTCACCCCTGTGCAAATCATATCAGCAATAACAATAATAGCAATTTATTCATCTCCGGGGTTTAAGCCCAGATCCTAGAAACTACGACCTCCTTCTAGGCCAGATCTGTAATCTTAGTGCTTTGGGAGGTCAAGGCAGGAGGATCCCTTGAGGCCAGGAGTTTGAGACCAGCCTGGACAACTTAGTGCGACCATCTCCCTATAAAATTTTTTTTTAATTAGTCAGCATGGTGGTGAGCTACTCAGGAGGCTGAGGTGGGAGGATCACTTAAACCCAGGAGTTCGAGGCTGCAGTGAGCCATGATTGTGCCACTGCACTCCAGCCTGGGCAACAGAGTTAGACTCTGTTTCAAACAAAACAAAACAAAACAAAACAAAAGGATTTCCTCCAACACTACCTTGGACGTGCTCATTTGCATAATCAAATTTGCATGCATATTATTATCTCATATTCGCTTCCAATTGGCTTGGTTGGCTGTCACTCTGTCCTGCATGTGTTCAATAAAGGATCCTTGTAGGATGTGGCTTCTACTTCCTCGGGAATTGGGGATTTGAGAGGAAGGCAGATCCAGGTATGGAGTTGGGCCAACTAAGTCCAAGGTTTCTCATCTGTAAAAAAACCTCCACGGGCCATTATGTCCATCCCTCTGTGGGCACTCCCTCTGGCTACTGTCCCCATTTGATTCCTCCCCTTCCCTGGGACTCTTGGGGCCTGGCAGCCCCATCTCACCTTTCCTCACCAATTTCTTCCCCTAAGAACTAGACGGATCCCGGTGCAACCGTGCCATTTATTTCAAAGACCAGCAGCCAGCAGGCCCAGGGCCACCTACGAACAAGGTCCAGTCCCATCCCCAGGAGGTGTCGATCTCGGCTGGGGAGGACCCCCGGGCCATGTGCGTGTGCGCATGATATTGCGTGTTTGTCATCGCAATGTTGCATGCGTGTAACCGGGGTACAACCGTGCTGTGGCGTGTCTGCATCAGATGGGACACTCATGGCCCCATGGGATGGTGACACGCCGGTAGCCGGGAAGCTTGTCTGTGAGTTGCCTGTGGTTGGGTTACTTGTGGCTTCCACGTGGTGTCCTGACTGCGATGCTATGACTTCCATGTGATTGGGCAGTTGTGTGTGACTCTGACGCTTTGCGTGTATGAGTCTGTAGTTGTGAAAGAGTGACACAACCATGTGACAGATTCCACGGGATGCCATAGGTGTGACTATGGAGTCAATCCTTCTTCCCTTCAGTTCACCATCAAGCATTTCTCGAGGGGCCCACTATGTGCTAGGGTCTTTGCTGGATGCTGAGGACAGAGCAGTTGTGACCCGGTGGGACATCAGCCCTTGGCAATGACAGGACCCAGCCAGCTGGTTGATGAGCTATTTATAGCCAGACATCAGCCGTGGTGGTGGATTTTACACCGTGGAAATTGGCAAACACTCCAGAGCCGCCCCCTCCCAGGACACCTCGTCGTGAGACATTTCTTGGCACATTTCTGTGCCGGCGTCTCTGAGTGTCACTTTTCGTGACCAGGCTGAGCTGTGACCACAAGTCTGTGGGTGGGACTTGAGTATGTGACTATGACTGCTGCCAGGGAGGGCTGAGCTGCCCACGTGGATGAATGCTGGTGACAAATCTCTAACCCCCCTCCCCGCCCACGCTCTTGAGAGTGAGGAAGTGGGTGGGAGGTTTCTGTCCCCAGCCAAGCCCTTGGAATCCCAAGTCCCAGTGTCTTCCAAATCAAAAGCATAAATACCCAACCCTCACCCCCTCTACCTGAATATCAGGCAAATCGGCATTACCCCACGCTGGGGGTCTACAGACCCCCAAGTCTCTGGGTCGTTGTCTTCAGAATTGTCTGTGGCAGGGGCTGCAGTCCATGTGGGTCTTGAGCCTCTCGGAGCATCTGAATCCTTGGTCCCTGGTCGCTTTCTGAGCTCTCTGCCTCTTGGGGTCCCTGGGGCGCCCACTGAGATCTCTGCTTCCTGGGTTTTCTGTCTTCTGAGATGCCCTTGGAGGTCAGACCCCCGTGCAGTTCACCATCACCGCTTCCCTTACACCATGAAGGCTCCGAAGTAGGACCGGGTGCCATCACGGAGTCGGACCAGCCGCTCATTAGGCACCCGGACCACCACCTCCTCCCCGTCCTCCAGGTGCACCACGCCCCCCAAGAAGCTGCTGTCCCACCAGACGCGGGAGCTGGGGGCCCGCCCGCAGGGTGACCGCCGGCTGACTAACAGCTCCAGCTCCTCCGGGTAGCGGGGCGTGCGCTTGTAGAGGCCGTGGGTGATGGCCAGGCCGCTGGCCATCCCCGGGGGGCAGCCCACGCCCCCCAGCTGCACCTTGGAGTAGATGTAATAGTAGCCGGGCTGGGTGGTCACCAGGGCCCCGTTGCGATAGCCAAGGCCCCTCAGGAAGGCCAGGCCCAGCTGTGTCTCCCACAGCAGCGGGCCCCCGCTGCGTGTCAAGCTGGAGTTAGCTCCTGCAGGGGAGAGAGAGAGAGAGAGAGAGAGGAGACTGCTGTCAGTGCGTGCCCTGGTCTTGCTGTGTGACCCTAGGCAGGTCGCCAACGTCTCTGAGCCTCCACCTCTATCCTGGGCTGTTTGTATCTATCAAGTCACTTGATGCCCAATTTGCAGATGGAGAATGTGAGGCACAGAGAAGTAAAGCCACTTGCTTAGTAGACATCTTAACTTATGGTATCCCACCTTGCCGGTGGGGAACTGAGACATGGGGAGGCAAAGTAACTTGCTCTGCCAAAGGGAAACTGAGGCATGAAACCATTAAGTGACCTGCCAAAAGCCTCCTGCAAGTCGGCAGGACCCAGGAACCAGTTCCAGCAGCCTCAAGACCTCCATGTCCTCAGTTTCCCTCCTCATAAAACGGAGATAGTAACAGCACCTGCTTAGGACTTAGTGAATAAGCATGTATAAAGCGTATAACAGCACGTGACACAGCAGAAGTGCCATGTAAAGTTTTATTAAATAACTAAAACTGGAAGGGCTGGGTGTGGTGGCTTACGCCTGTAATCCCAACACTCTGGGAAGTGGAGGTGAGAGGATGACCTGAGCCCAGGGGCTTGAGACCAGCCTGGGCAACGTGGCGAGACCTCGTCTGTACAGTAAATCAAAAATTAGACAGGCATTGTGGCGCATGCCTGTAGTGCCAGCTGCTTGGGAGGCTGAGGCCGAAGGATCACCTGAACCCAGGAGATTAAAGCCGCGGTGGTCACGAGCACGCACTCTAGCCTGGGTGACAGAGTGAGACTCTGACTCAAAAAAATAAAAAATAAAATAAAATTAGAAACAGGTATCCCCGCCGGGCTCGGTGGCTCAGCCTGTCATCCCGCGCCTTTGGGAGGCTGAGGTGAGTGGATGGCCTGA